AAAATAAAATAAAATAAAATAAAATAAAATAAAATAAAATAAAATAAAAAACTTCTTGCCCACATGAGCCCAACAAAGACTTTGATTTTCATCTTGGGGCCAGAACAACACACAACACATGTACCCTACCAGGCTGGAAAATTGAGTATTTAGCATTTTCCACTCAGTAGTAGAGGAAGGCAGGGGAAGGGCTAGTTGAGAATCAGTACTGACCACGCCACGTGCACGCCAGAAATGGAGGTCTGAGAACCTTCTCTGTTCCTTCTCCTCTTGTACAAGTCAGAAAATGAAACTAGCCAGGTCTGTTGGAGTACAAAGGATGCAGGCTCCTATGGCTTTTCTCAAGCTTTATCCTACTACTAAGTGAAATTCCAGAAAATGTCACCTAACACAAAATTGTTTAGACTGAAAATTCCATTCAAGGCTTTGAGTTTGGGTTAAATTAATCTGTCTGCCTACTTATCAGCTGTGCCCAGGTGAACACTGTAGTTTAAGTATGTCTACGAAGTGGGGGTGGGGGGGTGGGATGCTGCATTAGCATAACCTAGGGGGATGCCACGTTAGTATAACGTGGTTCACAGCAGTCCAGCCCTGTCCTCTGAGGATTAACACAAGGTTGACTGTACTTGTACCACAAAAGAGTGTTACGAAATGCCAACCTAAAGTAGAAAAAATTAAAAACATGGCAATGATAGGTGGAAAGAACAGTGGGCTGGGAGTGAGAAGAGCTGGATCTGGGATCAGGTTCTGCCACTTGTCACCCAAGTATGCTTTCCTTCAACAGGTCACTGAATATGTGTATCAAGCACTGGGCTAAGTAAGGCAGGGAGGGGGACAGCGTTGGGGGGGGGGTGGGGGAGAGATGCCAAATAAACAAGGTCATCTCGATCCTCAAAAAGATGATCTTTTATTTGGGCGAGCTCTTAATCTTGTAGACCCTCAGCTTCTTCACCTACAACTCGGACATTACCATTCTCAAAGTGTTGTTAGGAAATAGTGCAGGATAGTTCAACCTCAGTGCCCTTGATGTTTTGGGCCAGATAATGCCTTGTTGTGAGGGACTGTCTTGTGTATTGCAGGATATTTAGTGACATCCTTGGCTTCTAACTCACTAGATGCCAGTAGCTTCCTGCCAACCCCTCCGACTTCAGTGATGACAACCAAAACTGTCTGCAGACATTACCAAATGTCCCCTCCTGCAAGACTACCCCCAGTTGAGAACCTCTCAAATAGGGTGTCATATATATGAAAGCACTTAAAAAAGCATAAAGCCGCAAATCAAGTCAGTATTAATGTAAATCTATTTGTAAGACTACTTGTCAAAAAAAAAGTCCCTTAAAGTACAGTTTCCTTAGGAATGTTTATTTTCTATTTTTATGTTTTTTGCTTACCATTAAAAGCCCTCCAGGGCTTTTTGGTTAATTTTCCTTACCCAAACAAAGCATCTTCATTAGAACATATTTTTTAAATGTATCACTGTACTAACACGACAGTCAGAGTCAAACATAATTGCCATCTCTACAAAGCAGAAATTTTATCCAAAATCAAAGTACTCTGTGCCTACCTTTTAAGGTCAAGGGACTGGATCTTGTGAATTCTGTATTTGATGGCCTGTGCTGTTTACGAACTTCCAAGTACTCCTTAACTCTTGAATCAATGGTTTCTTTTAACAGTAAACAGACTTCCTAAAGCAAGTTAAAAAATGAGATATAATTCTCTCATTTAATGAAATGCAAAGAGACAACATTGTGCATATTAAAAAGTCAATTCATTTCGTTTGCTTTTTTACTTAGCTGTGAAAGCTGAAAAGAATGCTATCTGTGCTCATGGGTATCACCCCAGGTTTAAGTTTGCTACTGAGGTTTGCTCAAAACCATGTTGGTTCAGTCTGTGATCTGAGAAATTCATTTAATTTCCCTCTGCTTCAGTTCCACATTTCTAAAAGGAAGGTAAAAGCAGTGAAGTGCCCACTGTGGCCAGGCAAGACTGTGGATGAGGGAAGGATCCAGGAGGTGGAGCATCTCACTGTGACCCCACCCAGCCAGCAGGGGCAGCCCCGCCCACGGCTTCAGTGGACTATTGTCATGTGGGGATGCTAGGTGGGGGAGGGGGGTCATCAGCTGGTCATCAGCTCTTCTGATCTGTTCAAGAGAAGAGGCCACAGCAATTTTTATGCGAATATTTCCCATTTTTCAAACTTGGTTCAATACTTTTCTTAACCTAACCTAAACATCCACCATCCTTCATTCATTAGTTTCTGGCTGCAGGTTTAGAAATCTACTGAAAAAGGAACAGCACCAAATGATGGGCTGAAGAGAGAACTAAGAAATCAGTAATGTGATTTTCTTCCATGCTCTTATTGATACTGTGTGTGCTCATTTGCTTTTGTGAAAACTGCACTATATCCACCGATTCATGGTGAAAATAATTTAACTTCTCACATTTCTTTAAAGTAGATTAATATTTATTAGGCAACAGAAACGCATGGTTTTAATTCAATGTCAATGTACCACAACACTAGCAAATTTCTGGAATGTGTTATTTTTTTATATATCAGTGTTACTTATGAAAAGAAAGACAAAACTCTAAAAAGTCCACCACATGATGGGAAGACACTGTCCACTTTAGGTGGCATGTAGCCAATGTAGAGAAAGGGGGAAAAAATGGCACACAAATCTAAATTTCTTATCTTCGATTAAGAACTGGTGTGTAAGGACTAATAATTCTGGTCCAATTCCCAGACTGCAGAAGGCTCAGAGTTGCCGAGGTCAACTCAAACCTGTTTCACTAATTTCTTCAATGCCATCTCAGGTTTATCTCTTATGATTTTCAAAAATTAAAACGAGAACAAAATTTTAAGAAGCCCTGAAGGGCAATGATAGCCAAACTTTTCTTTTATTGCAAATACAGACACTCCTCAACAGTAGTGAAAATCCTTGATTTAATTCACAAATGGGAAATTGTACATAAAATATAAACACTGATCTCTCTTCTGCTCTCATTTTGCAGCCCAAAGATGCAGTGCCTTGTGGAATAGAGAGAGATCCGTTTACAGTTGAGCATTCTGGCATTGTTCACACAACAGAAAGGCAGCCTTGCCCCATACTGTTGTTTTAACAATTAAAGAATTTTGCTTCACATGCAGGGTTCAACTATGACTGAGCTAGAAAATATGTGAAAGACATACATGGAAACAAAGATTGTTAAAATTTAGCCATAAATGCCCTATAAGGCTAGAACTAAAAATAGTACGACAAAAATAAAACAAAGGCCCATACAACACAAACTTTCTCCCTATAGTTACGGGGCTTTCCTTCCATGAGTCAGGTTTGACGAATGGAAGGTAGACCATGTGCAATGTGGTCAAGATAACCTAGTAACTGACCACACCACACTTGGCGAAGCATTCCCTTCAGAACCACAGCAATGCAAGAAAAGACAAAGTCCCAGCTAAACTGGACGGGCAGATAAAAAGACCACGCTGAAATCAATGAGCAAGAAGACAGAGATATACAGGGAATTTCTAGGCTAAAAAGGGCTCCAACATGCTTCCTCAAGTTTACAAATGAAACAGTTCGAGCTGGACTGTTTGGGTACAAAGACTACTCGTGCTGGACTCAAAATAAACATGGCTTTAATCCATACAATTAGTTCCCTTTTCTGAAAAGGAACTGGACATTCTTAAGACTTTCACTATATAAAGTGACTGCTCAAATGCAATCAAATTGATTGCTCATGAAATCCCAATCATGAGATGATCTAATGATAAAAAAAGATGAAAGCACTGAGGCACTGAATAGAGACTAAAGTCATATCCTTCCTTGACTAGCTTTTCTTCCTTCTCTGTCTCTGTCTCTCTCTGTCTCGGAGCAATTTTCATGTCCATGAACAAACTTTAAAGGAACAACTTCAAGTATATGCAGCAAACCATCTGCTTTGCTCTGAGAGGGAAGCCTGGCTTCCTGGCATAATGCTGGAGCCAACACTGCAGCCAAGCCAACACCAGCCATGTGCAGGTCCCATCGTGCTCGGACCACCTTTGCTAAGTCATGCCTTGCTGCCCGGACGTTAGGACTAGGTGGAGCGGCACAGCTGTGTGTGGCTCCCTGGAAAAACCTAGCCTCATGCTCTGGGTAGGAGGTGACTCACATATTCGTAGCTTTATTTTAAAGCCTCCAAATCAAAGGACTTGGCAAAACTGACTAAATATCAACAAGAGAGAGCTAAGGGTGAGGTGGTAAAGCTGGAAGAAAATGGACAACAGGCTGGGTCTAGAACAGTGGATTCTAGAACGCTGTTAATGTCAGTCAAGTCAGAAGCCTTTTGGGGTGAGGTCTCCTTAAGGTGAGCATTAGTCACTTTGGGGGAAATAAAGGAACCATTTTGAACCACAGGGACATGTGTTGTTGGTAAGCCAAATCTTGGAATTACATGGAGTTGAAGTGTCATAGGAGATGCCAGCATACTAAATGCTAAGACCTGAAGAGGATAATTTATTAACCTGAATGGTAAATCCCATTATACCGAATCTTGTGCCTGCCTTCTCCCAGCTGTTGGGCCACCAGGTATCCTTGGCAATACCGTGACAGCCAAGTGCTGATTATATCATTACCTTTTGACTGAAAATGTATTACTTATAAATTTTCTTTGGGGGAGATTTTTTTTCCTAGTAATCGTCAAAAGTTGACTGAAAACAGTTACCACAGTAAAGGATTTTGGGCTTGCTTTTGTTGCCACTATCAGCAAATTCTTCTCCGTATACTACCTTTCAGTAAAACTTGTTTTTATTTCTGGCTCTAAAAAGCTGTTGTGACAAATATGGAGGTCACAAAGTGCTGTAATACTCTGAAAGTTACATGAAAGCCACTGCCTGCCTCGCTATCACTGCTCTGGAGGACAAGGATATGGAGGAGGAAGCAGAGCACGTGATGAAAGCCAGATGCACTCTCCAACTCTCTGCCACAGCAGCACTTGGGTGGGATCACGGCAATGGAGAGCCAGTGGTGACTCAGCTGACCTCTGGTCGAACTTTTTCATTTGCAGATGAGGAGACTGAGGCCCAGGAGGTCAAACACCATGCTCCCAGTCACATGACCATCCGGCCATAGGCTTCCCTGACAGACTATTGTGAGAAGGAATACAGTCCAACACCTCCACATTTACTGTCAAAGACTCATGTTAATAAAAGGATGGTAGAAGACAAAAGCAGACATTGAGAATTTAAGATTTAAATAAGAATTTAATCTCAAGGTGTGAAAGATCAGCCTTGTGTTCACCTCACGCCTGCTTCAGGGGCTAGGTCTGTCCTTTACAACCAGTTAGATTAAAGTCCCTGGTTGCCTGGAACAGTCACTTTAATGTCTTCTTAAATATAAAGAGCCCTTTCCCCCAAAACAAAGAGGTAGAATATTTCTGGCTTAAATAATATAGCATATGAAATACATAGATGTGTCACTCTCTTAAGGAAAAAAAGCAGGTCTGTCATTGGGAATACAACTATTTTTCAAGGGTTAAATATCACTCAGTATTTTTTGCCTACTGATGAAAATGAAAGCTGAAAGAGTTAATATTTCTTTGAGCATCAGCTATTGCATTTAAACAGTGAAAAGTTTTGTGGTACCTCTTTCTTCTGTTCAGAAAACCAGCTGGTATCTTTGTTTGAACCTTGCGGCAATATGTGAAGATCCACCAGGACAGCAAAATTCCCACACTAAAAAGACATTAATGGCAGAGTTAGCTCACGCCCAGCAAACAATGAGAGAAAATCTCACAAATTCCTATGTGGTTGCTCATGATGAAATGGCAACAAAGTTCCCTAGTGGACAGAAATCTTAATATGGGGCAGGGCTACAGGTCATAAACCTACTAGTTTTTGCAAGTTTAATATTTAGGGCAGAAATGCTAAGGAGAAATAGAATTTTAATCATAATAGCAAAGACAAAAAACCTGTGTCCCACACCTTCGAGGGGATGCTCAAGGCATCCAGTGGCAGCTGGAAGGCTATCAAACACTGAGAGAAGTCCAATAGGTCAGAATTGGGTAGGCTCCAGAAAGGAATGGTTCCATGGACAGTCAGGGGAATTCTTTCTTTGACATAGGAAAGAACACATATAAGCTACTGCATTTTCAGACAGAGAAAAGGAATGGCTGGGACAGTACATTTGAGAATACAAACAGAAGCAAGGAGAGCAAGGTGGATGCTGAATGACAGTTACCAAAACTAAATTAGTTTTATTAAAATACGCTGTAAAACTGTACAAATCCTGGGGCGCCTGGGTGGCTCAGTCGGTTGAGCGTCCGACTTCAGCTCAGGTCATGATCTCGCGGCTCGTGAGTTCGAGCCCCGTGTCAGGCCAGCTTAGAGCCTGGAGCCTGCTTCTGCTTCTGTGTCTCCCTCTCTGTCTGCCCCTAACCCACTCGCATTCTGTCTCTGTCTCTCTCAAAAATAAATAAACATTAAAAAAAATTTTTTTTTAAACTGTACAAATCCTGCTTCTTGTCAATGTTCATCAGGGCAGCCAATAGCCATGTTATGGCTACTGAGCACATGAAATGTGGCTACTGTGATTGAGAAGCTGAATCCTAAATTGTATTTATTAATTTAACTTAAACAGCCACATGTGGCTAGGCGATTTGTGGCATGGCTATAGACCCTGTAAAAGGTTATAGCCTTTAAATCTTCACACCTTATGAGTAATTTCTGCAAATCTCTGGATAATTATGGATAAGGTAACTTAGAAAGAAACAGAAGACCAAGACTGCAGGTTGGGGATGGTCTCAGAGGCCCAAAGGGTCAGTGATGACCTACAGGAAAATGTCATTTTTGTACCTCTTTGGCTGAACAGGTTTTCTTTTTTGTTTTTTGTTTTTAAATTCCGTGCTGTAATTCAATGATGAAAGGAAAATATTTTCAACGAATGGCCCAAATAGACCAAATATAAATATGGAAGGAAAATAAAATTTGACACTTACCTCATACCATACACAAAAATTAATTTGAGATGGATGATAGACCTACACATAAAAACCAAAACTATCTTGCCAAACTTGCAGTAGAAAAAAATTTCTTAGAACCCAGAAAGCGCAAAAGATAGAAGAAAAAAATTATTAAATTGAATTCTGTCAAAATTTAAAACATTTGCTCATTAAAGGACACCACTGAGCTCCTGGGTGGCTCAGTTGGTTGAGCATCTGATTTCAGCTCAGGTCATGATCTTGTGGTTTGTGGGTTCAAGCCACACATAAGGCTCTCAGGTGTCAGCACAGAGCCTGCTTGGGATCCTCTGTCTCCCTCTCTCTCTCTGCCCCTCCCCGCTCGCGTGCTCTCTCCCTCTCTCAAAAATAAACATTAAGAAATTTTTTTAAAGAAAGACACCATTAATAAGATGAATATGTATGTCACAGGCTAAGAGAAAATATTTATAAATGCATATATCTGACATGAAGGACTGGCATCCAAAATAAATAACTCGTACAAATCTAATATTAAAAAACAAACAAACAACCTAAGCTTCAACAGATACCTCACAAGATAAACAAACAGCTAATAACACATGAAAAAGTGTTCAACATCAGTCATCAGGCAAATGTAAATGAAAACCACCAAGAGATACAACTACATACTTACAAGAATGACTGAAATTAAAAAGATTGACACACCAAATTTGGTAAGGATGTGGAGCTCCCCAAACTTTCATGCATTGCTAGTGGAAATATAAAATGGCTCAACCACTTTGGCAAAAGGTTCGTCAGTTTCCTTTACTTAAACACACATTTAATTTACTGACTAAGCCAGCAATTCCACCTTAGGCACTTACCAAGAGAGATAAAACATGTGCACAGGAAGATTTGTACGCAAATGTTCATACAAGTCTTATTCATAATAGCTAAGACAAGACAGAAGACAACCCAAGTCCATCAACAGGAGAATAAACAAAGTATGGTACATTCATTCAATGGAATGCTCGTCACAAAACTACAGATCCACTCAACATGGACTAATCTCCACATTACATTGAGCAAAACACGCCAGGCGAAAAGAATACATACTGTAGGATTCCATCTATATGAAGTTCTAGAAGAGCAAAACTCAATCTGTGGCCAAAGCAATCAGAATAGTGATTACCTAGGGAGGAGTTGACTGAGAACAGGCACAGAAGAACTTTGTGTGGTGGTGGGAAGGTTCTCTATCTTGGTGGGGTATACGGTTAAGATCAGTTGATTTCAGTGTAAATTATACATCGCTAATAAATAATTTTTAAAGGCTGTGTAAAAGCACATTTACATTTACTGACAGTTATATAAAATGTCGTCTGTCCTTAAAAATGTATGGGTATTTTGGAGGAGAACGAAGTGAAGTTCAACTGGATAAAAAATAATGAAATATGGTGAAAGAGGATCTCCTATGATGTCAAACAGTGCAGTGTGACCCACTGAACTGCTTCTTAGTGTGTTACAACCAGTATTTTATTTTAATGAAAGAGAATCAAAGGGAATATGTGAATAGAATAAAAAATATCAATATGTCACATGGTACAGTCAAGTCTTATTTTGTGAAACTTATGTATGAGTATACTGAGTTATGATGGGAAGCCTATTTCTTACTGTGGATTTGTGGTCAAAACTGTTTGAAAACCACACTCAAGTACACTGTTACTTTACGTTTCTTCACAACTGTTGATTATAGATTTAACCTTTAAGGAATATGCTGCCACCAGGTGGAGGTCATATGCCACAACTACATGGCATTAACCAAGGGTTATTAACTTTTTGTGTGCCATGAATAAAACACAATGGATTCAAAAGAAAACCAATTTGACTGAAGTACGATTATCCAAATTAAAAAAAAATTGTGATTTGTAATGTATGTACTTGTCTATTAAGGCACTGGCTCTTTTCATAGTTGTAGATCTAATAACTACCAAAAATCCGAAGTAATAGTAAACATACATGATACCTTCAGATATGTGCCACAACTATAAGATAACATGAAAAGAGCTATGATTCTACTGGTGACATATCCTGAAAATACCATGTTTTGAATACTTAATTTATAATAAAAAAAATTGGTTAGAATTTGGTTAAAATAAAGATGTAATTTTTGCTCCCATCCAAGTTCACCAACCCTCTCAATTCTATCCCAAACCTGTTGAGGCACCACAGATGGCAGAACAAGAACCTCGCAGAAGCAATGGGATGTGCCTTATACACATTTTACTGGGTTTCCTGCAAGTGTTTAATCCTGACTCCTTAGACCAAGTTCTCTGCTAGCCCTTCTCCATTAGCAAAATTGGCTTTTAAAATAGTAAAAAAAAAAAAAAAAAAAAAAGTGATACTTGAACAATTTGAATTGATACTATGTAATAGTAGCTTTCTATAAACTTTTTTTTATGTTTATTTATTTTTGAGAGAGACACAGAGAGAGAACATACATGCACAGGAGGGGCAGGGAGACAGGGAGACAGAGGATCCCAAGCAGGCTCTGCTGTCAGCACAGAGCCTGATGTGGGGCTTGAACCCACGAACCATGACATCACGGATGACCTAAGCCAAAGGCGGGCAATTAACCAACTGAGTCACCCAGGTGCCCCTGTAATAGTAGCTTTCTAATGAATTAAATAGCAAGGTCCAATTTGGTATTCTCTCATCATTTCATACCTTTGATCACAAATAATCTAGTGTAAGTTTGATTATAAACAGACCGATTAGAATAGTTTTGTTTTTGGAATCTTACTCCGGTGCTCAAACTTTCCTGGGACTTCAGCCAGACTCTGCCACCAGGCACATGTGCAGTCCCCCCAACACACAGCAGGGCTCTCCCCTGCAGCCAGCAGTTCTGAGTTCTCCAGCAAGCTCTCTCAGACTCCCACACCAAGCAGCCGTATGCTGCCTTTCTAAAGTTCCCTGCTCTCATAGCTTCGCTGCTTTGCTCCCATGAGTGAACAGAACTTTTAAGGGAAAAAAAGCCTCCTACTGCTGCCAGGAGCACAGCCTTCACTTCTCCTTAATTAGGAGGAGGCTATTTCATCTCTCAGCAGAGAAACTCCAGCTCTCTTCAGAAAGGGGGAACACACGAACCATGACTTCTTTCTTAGGCCACAGCTGCTCACTTTACACAGGACAGTTACCTCTTTAACAGACCAAAGGCCACTAGTAAAAGCTTTGCATCTCATGCCCTGGGTTGTGAGTCAACAGGCCAGGGTCTGATCCAGCTTCTAGCCCCCTCCACCCAGACGTTTCGGCCAAAGGCTGGGAGTCAACCCCAACTCCTCCTTTTCCCTAACCCTCCACACTCAGTCACCAAGTCTTATTGGTTTTACTTCTTGAAGGGCTAAGCACACCTCTGTCTCTCGTTCTGCATGTCACCTCCCTCCTGGTGTCTCATGAACTCTCAGCACCAACCAGAGCAATCTCTAACATACGTGCTTTCTGCCCTCTGATTCCAATGCACCCCGATGCTCCTGGATTTGTCAACTTTTATGCCTCCTTGAACCCCAGGAGGAGCATGGACATCTCAGTGCAGCTTTTCTGAACAGTTTGTCACTTGGTCCCCTGGATCAGGCCTATGCTTCACATGCTTATTTATTTCTACACTAAATGGCTGGTCTATGTAGGGGCTGCCCCTGCTAGGCTGTTAGCTCCTTGGTGCAGACAGACAGGGTCCCAATCTCATTCAAATCTACACTGCAGCAATTAGCACGGGACTAGCTC